GGCCCCCGCCTGGGGGGCGGGGCAGCCCGGCCCCGCCCAGGGACTGACCCTGAGCTGCATAACTGCAATGGGGAGGCCGCAGAGGGGCGCGGCAGCCCCAGGTCGATGCGACCGCTGTGGGCCGGTGGGGGGCCTGGGAGACCCCTGTCTGACGAACGCCCTGGGGGGCCTCATCTCTCTGTGCTGGCTGCGCGGAGTCTCGGGGGACCTGAGCAAGGGGTCGCGGCCTCAGAGCGCGGCCAGCCCTGCAGGTTCACACCGGGAAGGAAACAGATCTCAGTGCGGGAGTCGAGCGCTGATGTCGGGCGACAGAGCAGGCAGCGGAGGCTGCTGGGGCCCTGGCCCCGCTCTCCCGTCAGGAGGTCAGCAGGACTCCCGGCCAGCCCCGCGGCATGCAGACGGCCAGGGCCTTTGCAAGCAGCTCCGGTGTCTCTTGGAAGCAGGGCAACCTGGAGGGAGCAGGGTGGGGCCCGGTGCTGGCAGCACCCACGGGGCACCCAGTTGCCACCACTTGGAACTTTTATTCCCAAGGGAGGGGGGCTGTGACTGCACCCCGGGAGCTGGGCCCTGAGGGCCGGCCGCCTGTGGCCTCGCTCATGTCCAGGTGGCTTCTGGACAGCCTAGTTGTTGGGGCCCCTGGCAGGGCCGCCGAGGGTCCAGCTCTTCTCGGTCAGCACAGCCCCAGGCCAGATCACATGGCATCGTCTGAATCTATTTATTCGGCAAATTTTTCTTCCGGTTCGTTGTGTTAGCTTCCTGTGTGTAATGGAACAAGTAGCTCAGGTTTTTTGGTGACAACTAAGGCCACATTTCTGGCCAAACGGCGTCTCCAAGCCGCACCGGCTTTGGTCGTAGGAGCTCAGGGTTTCCCAGCCCAGTGGCTGCCCTACTGTAGGAGCGAGCCTGACCCTGGCCCCCGGGCTCTGCCACGCCCAGGCCTGCTGGCCTGACCGCTGACCGTGTGCTGGGCCCTGCTGGACCTCCGTCCATGCTGATGCCGGCGCCCCCCACGGCTCCCAGGCCAGCATGGTCCCCAGGCACAGAGAGATGAGGCCCCCCAGGGCGTTCGTCAGACAGGGGTCTCCCAGGCCCCCCACCGGCCCACAGCGGTCGCATCGACCTGGGGCTGC